GAAGGAAGGAAGGAAGGAAGGAAGGAAGGAAGGAAGGAAGGAAGGAAGGAAGGAAGGGTACTACAGAGATTGAGGCAGCTGTGATGGCAACATTCTGCTCTCCAGGCTTAATTAAGCATGAGCAAAAACAATATTCTACTCCTCCGACCACAGGCTGAAAGCTACAAAGCCACATGACTCTCAAGGAAGTAAGAACAATGGCTTTGTCTACAGTTTGCTGATGCATCCTACCTAATCTCCACCCCAGCTGTTCCCAGCTGGTTACCTCTGTATGACAGCCCTGGGCTACAGTGATTGCTGAGGATATCTTTTTTAGATAACATCAGTCAGATGCTCAGCCAAAAAAGCAGAATTTGACCATGGTGAATCAAATCAATCTACGCTATTTATAATGAAGCCAAAAGGGAGATGCCACTTTGTTTCAATTCATGAACTACATCCTGGCAGCCAGAGCAAATTCTCTGCAGAGTCCGGCAGTCAAATTTTCTGGAGCAAACCAGGACATTTCAATAGAGAGTCCCTTTTCTCTGAAACTCATCAGGAATGGAATAGTCTACCTGTTCCTCCAGCTACAGCATGGAGCCCCATCTGTTACTGGTAATCACTAGCATTTAATCTCTCTGTGCAAAGGGAGGAATTGGGGAGGGAGGAATAGGGCTTACTCTTGTAATTCAGTTCATCTTGGATATTAATATAACTTAAAAGCAACCAAAGAGAAGGATCAGGGAAAGTTCAAAGTAACCAAGAACATATACATTATTTGTACTTGATGTACATACTTTACGATGTAGCATATGAGATTGCATGCATAGTCTTACTTTCATGGTTCTCTGCAGTTTTCTTTAATTCAGCTTTATTATGGTTTATTGAGCATTTTGCTCAGCACTAATTTAGGAATGACACTTTTATAAAAGTGATGTCTCCTGACTTAAGTAACAACTTTATCAACACAAAATGGAACACAAGCATTTGCTGGAAAGAAACATACTGAAAAATGCTGTGCTTTTTCCTCCTTTTTTTTTTAATTAAAAGAAATGTTGAATCCATTAAAAAGAAAGTTTGCTTTGTTTTCTAAAATAGACACCCCCACCCCCAATTACCATAATGACAGCTACTCATGTGGCTCTCCTATCGCCATTTCTTCATTCATCTATCATTTCTTGAACAGGTCAGTAAATAGAAACAAGAGACAAATTACAAATATATTAAATCCAGTACTGGTTCTTTGAGGAATGCTTGTGCCATCGGCTGAAGAGGGGGAAGAGCCATAAGAATAATCCACGGACTAAGATGCAAGCAGAAATGTTATAAAAAGAATGGGTTCTTTCCTACCTTCTTGCCATTTACAAAGAAGACCAGTTCATCCTTTTCTGGGACCATTTTGCGCATCTTCTGAATGGAAAATAGGGGGACGTTCCCTGATCACACTCTTTGAAGTCGCCCAACACAGCTGCAGCCTGAGTCCCAGAGATATCAACACATGCAATATAAGGAGTTCTTAGGACACTCTGATCTTGTATTACAACACTGAAAGAGTCCAATTTATACAAGAACCACCCAGAGGCGTGTCAGCTACACTTGGCTGGGGCCTCCTGCTCTAATGTTAGCATAGGAGAAATGGAAAAGAATAGAGTCTCCACCCCTTTCTGTGCCTTGAAATTTGACTCAATCTTCAATAGATAGGGCAGTCAAACTTTGGCAGGAGAACAAGATTGTTCACAGTAATGCCTGTTCTTTCATGTTCTACCATCTGTGACATATCTCTGTCATGACTGGTTCTAGAGTAGTGGTTCCCAATTAATCCCTTTCCCAGTCTCAAATAACCTCATTACCACCACAAAAAACAAAACAAAAACCCAGACCCTGTTGTTTTACACAAACATCTCAGCAGTGGCAGTCCCAAACTGGATCCTTGACTCACAAACAAGCAGTTGCAAATTGCTCCATTTGATATGCTCAACTTACCTGTTGGGGATAATTACCCTCAGTTTAGAACCAATATTCTAGAGTGTGTCATACCATCCATCTAACCAACAATAACTTTGTAATAAACTGTCTCTCTTAAAAAGCTGGTCAAACCTGAGGAATCCATGTTCATAAACTGTACAGTTAGAATATAACTTAAAACTCAAGTTAGGTACATTCATCCAACTGATTTTGTAATTCTCAAATCCTTGCAATTACAGTAAGTCGGTTAAAAGAAGTGAGTGCACTCATCTCAGGCAATTATACTTTTATTAGATGATCCTTAACTGTGATAGAAACTACTGTCCAGTAGTTCTCTTGTGCAAAAATAATTCCTCAGTCAACTTACAAAGAGTTCATTCAACTTTTTTTTCTTTCATAACTCCCAAAAATCAACTTTAGCATCTAATATTGAATTCTGAAGAGATCAGCATCAAGAGATCAACAACAAATCAAGCATGACCTGATTATAATTTATTTATATTCTCCCCCTCTTTCTAAGTAAAATATAAGTATACTTGTAAGAAAAATCCTGTTTAAATTGAGGATCAGTATAACACTTCCTGAGTATGATAATCCCCCTGAAATTTGTATTGTTACTAATATTCCTCTATTTTCAAAAGCAGCATTATGCAATACATAGCTACATTCCACAGCCTTTGTTAGAGTTATTTGAAACATGCATATACATGCATTTAACTAATATTTAAATGAATGTTCTCATATATGAACAATTTGATCTTCATCATCATATATACATTTCAGAGGCATTTTTGATATAGCAGTATTCCAAAACTCAAACTTATCCAAAATCCAGATGCAGTTGCATAGATAGTCTTGAAATAATTGGTTGAGCAAGTTGGAAGTTGATATTATCCATGTTCACAGCAACTCAGTTGGATCCCTCACTGTAGATTTTTTTGGCAGGTAAAGAGTTGGAATGGTAAACTCCAAATCCTGAGAAACCAATGTGTATGCTTCTCAACAAGATCTGATTGTGAAACAAAGAGAGTACACAAGCAATGTGGATATTTATTTTATTTGTACAATTTATCCTCTACCTTAATCCTTATGGACTCTAAGGGGTATGAAACTGATTGAGGGCTGACATAAGAGCCAATGAGGTACAGTGATTATGGTATTCACCCTCAGCTAAGAAACTTATTGACTTTGGGCAAATCATTGTCTCTCAGCCAAAATTACCCCACAGAATTGTTGTGAGCAAAAAAAATTGAAAGAGGAGGTACTATGTATATTATCATGAGTTCTTGGAGAAAAAGCAGGAAATAAATTTAATATATGAATATAACAGAAATATAATAGAAGAGACTGAAAGAAGCTTTCTCCAAGGCCTAAGCTTCCTGAGATGAATTCATTCCAGGGGTATTGCAAAACTTTTTACATGTAGAAAACATGAATGTTGAAGAGAAGGCTTGTGACCATGTTTTGTTTTGGTTTGTTTTGGTTTGGTCTGGTTTTTTGTATGAATCCATTTCTTCCTGGGGAAAACTGAAATGATGCAACTCAGATTTCAGGATGACCTAGATCTAAGGCTTTGACACACCCTGGGTAGGTAAAAACAGAGCCTGCAACCCATGCATTTCAGCAAATGGGACATTATTAATTTGATTACCAAATCACAGTCTGGTGAACTCTAGTTTTGCATCTGCAATATGTGAGCAAGCTCCACCTTGGGTTAATTGAGCTTTTTGAGTTTCTCACCCACTGGGTTTGCACACTGCGGAAAGTCATGTTGGAAAAAGTATGATTTACTGAATCCACTACAATTGGCTGGTTTTATGCAATACACCAAGCCATAAATCAAGCTTTTTAAGCCACAGTAGCTGTGTTGACAGAACATACCAAGGCACAATCAGATGAATTACATTTAACTTAACATGATGCATGAACCCAGCCACTGAATTGGAAGGCCCAGAGTAACAAGAAAGTGCAGAGGAAAAGGGATCTGCCCATGCCTTTGGACTTTAAATCAAACTAACAAACATTAAAGCTGGCCAGGATATTAATATGTATGCAACATGATCTTGCACCTGTTTACTCATAATTCTCACTTAATTCACTTGAACTTACTTCCAAATAAACATACAGCCAGAAAGGTACTCACCTTTAGAAACTTTCTTTGTTGGATTGAAACAAACTACTATATTCATTTAGTCTTTGCATTATTTTGTAAATGTTGCCTATACATGAGTACAGCCTATAAATGGGGAGAATGCATGTTTCTTCTACTTTTCTGGTCTGGACTTCTGCTGTCTCTGTTCAGAAGACATGTCTGAGCTGTTTTGGAGAGAGGTGCTGATCCTGAGGACTACTTCCCAGATAATTCAATGCTTGCACTTAAAAAGTATGCTGCCAGTCTAAATACTGAAACTCTTATGCTCAATTAGCAATGAATTCTCTTCTTTTTCTTCTTTTATTGTTCTGGCTGTTGTCTACATAGCAAATTTTAAACATTCCATAGATTCTCAGAAATTATCTCAATAAATCTTGTGGCGACCCTGTCATGGCAACCAGAGTTACGATAGATAGATCTGTAAGAACAAGTGGTGGCAAGAAGTCTTGCCATGTAAACCAGCAAGAGCCCAGATGGTCTCGCATCCAAAAGGACTCCAACAGATGCTTTCAAAATTCAATCCAATTCAAAATTATACAAGCAGGAGATGGAGGTAACGCCAGGGCATTCCACGATAGCTTCCGTTATTCAGAATCAGTACTCCCATGTTTATTTAGAGGTATGCCTTACTGAGTTTAATGAACATTACTTTGAAATAAGGGTTTCCTTATTTCTTTCATCACTCCAGTTCAAAAATTTCTGTTCAGAATTACGTCCCAATAATTGCAGTATTTCAAAGGTAATAGGGATAGAAGTGGAGCTATGCAAATCTTTACTAGTTAATTATTGCTTGGCATAAAAAGAACAGCTTTCTTAATTTTTTGAAACATCTACTTATTTTTCAGAGGCATCATCCACTTTCAACTGCAACTGAGTGAAAACTACATGTTTCCCCTGAAGTTTCTTCTGCAGTTTCAAAGGTAGCAGAGGAGCTGTGCCAGGAGAGCAGAGAGAGAAGAATGCAAACCACTCTCTACTTCCCAATACCAGGCTTCTTAGTACTTCTGATACAGTATAGTATCTCTCACCAAAATGTAAACACTGAAATATTTCTGATGGCACACAAACTTTAATCACATTTCAACCTTGTTTTAGGTCATGTATCTGAAGGCACATGGTACAGCAACCTCAAATTTATCAGGCCTGGATATGTTTACAGCCTGGATGATGGATTGCCTGACACCCCCTGTACGCAACCTTCAGATTGGTGGAAGAAAGCTAGAGAGATTAAAAATACTTAAATATTTACTTGCTTTACTTGATGATGAAAGGGAAAGCAGACTATTTCCTCATGTGAGGTTCCTACTAATCCACCATGTAGCCTAAAATCACTGCAGCCAAATGGCATCTGCATTCTTTATCCCTGCCTTTCTAATGATCCAAACAGTATAAATTCAAGTGCAGAGCACATGCTCTGCAAGCCAAATATCTCAGGTTTGGTACTTAGTATTTTCAGTCTACACATCTTGGACTAAAGAGTAGGAACATGGATTCCACACACAGAGACACATCTGCACCAGCCACTGGGCATAACGGATCAATGAACTGACTTACTAGATGACAGTTTAATATACTTAAACTTTTCCTAACTTCCTGGCTGGCCAGATAAGCATATTAAAGTCAGCTGACCGTATGTAAGAAACGTAGAATAGAATTGAGGTATGATTATAACACCATTTACTACTGTAAAAAAATAAGGCTCCATTTATTATGGAGGAATAAAGCATAGAAATTGAGAATTGGTTTAGGTTTGCTAATGACTTTGGCAAGACTTCCTAAAATGAGGCAACCTCATGAAACTATGTGTCAGATTAGACATTAAGCCTGATGTGGTTGTTGGAATTTGTTTAGCAAATAAACCAGCATTGGAGTCTATGTCAATCTGGGGGGAGAAGACTTTCGGGGTTAAGAAGATTAAGGCTTAGAATGAGCTGAGGCTTGCAATGAATACCAAAAATAATAAAAATGTGTTTAAAGATATGTGCAGAACAAGAAGAAAGTCAGTGAAATGGTCAGTTTGCTGCTTGGAGAAGATGGCAAGATGATGACAGAGAACAAGAAGAAGGCTGAATTGCTTAATTCCTATTTTGCATCTGTCTTTTTGCAAAAGAAAAAAGTGTTCCAACCTGTCAGAAGCTGTATCGCAGGGGGCAGAAGAGAAATGCAGGTCAAAATAGGCAAGAAAGTGGTGGAGGAATACCTACTTGCTTTGAATGAATTCAAATCACTGAGACTGGATGGACTACATCCCTAGGTGCTAAACTAACTGGTAGATGTGATCACAGAACCATTTATTATCATCTTTGAAAACTTCTGGAATAGAGAGGAAGTGCCAGAGGACTGGAAAAGAGGTAGTCTTTTTTCCAATTTTTGAAAAAGAGGGAAAAAAGAAACTACAGATCACTCAACTTGACACGTAT